GCGGTAGGGCCCAGCACGTCCCACCGCTGCTGCCTCCTGGAGGAGCTGGGAGTGGGCCAGGGTTGATGTGGGTGTTGGCGTCCCGGGTGGAGTCTCACCTGCGGCCTGTCCCGCAGTGTGGTTTGGGTGTTGAGCAGACTGAGTGCAGTTCTTCGACGTTCGTGGTCAGGCACATTCACCTTTCTGAACCTCCGTTTTCTTGCCTGCAGAGGGGAGAGTACCGACCTTGTAGAGATGAGAAATAGTTTATCAACAGGCCGTCCTCAGGTTATGACTTAGCGCACATGTTGACGTTTTCTCTCTTGGTTAATCTTTCCCTTTCTGTTGGGGGTCAATCTAAAATGTGACATATACTGCCTTAAAGCAGATCCTAAGCGTAAGTCACCCTCACCTACTTAGCTAAAGGAATCTTCGGAATCAGAAGCAGTTATCAGGTGGGTGTAGTGATGTCTTAGAGGCCTTGCGTGTGTTGGATTTTGAGCATCTTCTGCAAGTGTCTAGTTCTTTACCTGTCACACGTGTGGGGTGTTGCTTTCTGTTTATCATCTCCCTCTCCTCCGTCAGACTGCTTGGAAATGCAGCAAGCAGCCGTTGAGAACTCCGTGCAGTGAGCTTCTTTCTGAGGGCTGAATGTAATACAGATGCCTGAAATTTAGTAGTTAGATTTTTACAGCATTTATCTTGCTTACTCTTTTTTTTTTTTTGCTGAATCCTTGACTGTCAGCTGTCTTATTAGGTTTCCTAATAAATAATAGCCAAAGTGTCAGTTCTCTTTCCTTCCTGTGCGTCCTGATGACAGCCAAGGGTTTACAGTAAAACGCCTCTTACGCTGGGTATTAGGAGCCTCTGGGTGTGCATTGTGAATGAAGTGCAGGGAGTTCCTGCCCCCTTGGAGTTTACAGCTAACAGACTTGTTGTGGGTGGGCGCGTGGGCTAGCAGTCAAATGGACACGTGGGCTGCTGCGTCACGTGGTCAGAGTGCTGGCTTGAGTCCTGGCTCCTCCGCTTCCAGCACAGCTCCCTGCTCCGGTGCGGCCGGGGAGCAGTGCTGATGGCCCAAGGGGCCGGGTTCTGGCCACCGCGTGGAGAACCGGATTGAGTGCCTAGCTGCTGGCTTCAGCCTGGCCCGGCCCTTGCTGTAGTGGGCATCTGGGGAGTGAACCAGTGGATGGAAGGTGGATCTCTGTCTTTCTGCCTTTCAGGTAAAAATGAAAATAAATAAATGGCAGATCTTTAAAGGTGGTCAGATGGTGTCTGCGCAAACCGTGAAGGAAGCCCGTAGGGTGGCGAGTGCGGGAGCGGCGTGACGCGGAGGCTCCCTGGGAGGAAGGTGACATTTAGGAGGGATGGAAGAGGCCCGTGGAGAGCCCGCCCGGCCTGGAGAGCAGCAGGTGCCAGGACCCTGAGCCAAAGCAAGCTTGGCTCGAGCGCTGTGAACAGGGGTCAGTGCCTTGAAACGGGCTTAGGGCGCTCAGTGGGGCCAGGAGGGATGGTACGGGGTTCCAGTGACGTGCAGGCTGACTGCAGCCGTCTAGATGGGACGTGTTCGTGGCCCGTGCTGCTGTGCTGGGCTTCAGATAAAGGAGGTATTTTAGTTCTGGGCGTAAACAGAGATTTCAAAACTTTCCCATGAGGCATGGAAAAACACGGCCATGACTGCTTTTGCTATCTGCTCCCCTCCCCCGGTTGTTGTGTCAGTGTGTAGTTTGTGTTTTGTTTTGGCTTGGTGGAGGGTGAGTTCAAAGAACTGTGGCTGCCCTTGCTCTTGCCTGGGGAGCTGGCTGATGACTTTGCCTCCACTTCCTCCGCTTCCTGTTGTGCCCTAGAGTGCAGAGGGGTTTTCCTACAAGGTCACAGGTTCTGCAGGGAGCACCTTGGTCAAGCAGTGACACTGAGCTCCAGGATGTGCGGGGCTCCCGAGCAAGACCCCGCACTTAGAGCTGAATGGGATCCACAGCGCTGGGATGTCCTCCCAAGCGCCCTGGGCCCTGTTCTGTTTTCTTAGGCTCTTCCTGTGCCAGCTTCTCCTAAGTGAAATTCGCTCAGGGCAGACTTGGTTGACCTTTGGGGTGACCTACTTTTGTTTATTTGGTAAGAACTGAATATATATATGTGTGTGTGTATATATATATATATATATATATATGAGGGTACTTCAAAAAGGTTTTGGGAAAATGCAGTTGAAAGATAAGTGTAATTTTGTGCAAAAACTGTTGAAATCTGTGTGTAGCTTTTTCCTGATAACGCGGCCTCTGAGCGCCTCGTGTCAGCCTTTGATCTTGCCTTGCAGCTCTGATGTCTTGGTCAGTCAGTGCAGCAGGCGCCGTGTGCCTGCCCAAGCCCTCCACCTCTCCTGTTTGGTTATGTTACTTGAAACTGGTATTTTTGGTAGTCTGCAGTATAAACCAGTTCGTTTATTTTTCTTAAATGACCATAATTGAACACCTAGCTTTGCTCATAATATTTATGGGATGGGTGTTGTGGCACAGCTGGTTAAGCCACATCAAGGGAGCCCTGCATCCCATGTTGGAGTACCAGGTCAGGTTCTGGCTCTTGTATTTCCTGTATGACTCCCTCGTAGTATGCCCGGGGAGCGGTGCATGATGAGACAGGTGCTTGAGTTCCTGCCACCCACGTGGGAGACCCAGATGGAGCTCCTGGTTCCTGCCTTCAGCCTGCCCAGCCTCAACTATTGGTGACCATTTGGGGAGTAAATGAGTAGTTAGAACATATTCATTCTTTCCAATAAATGAGTCTCTCTCTCTTTTTTAAGATTTTATTTATTTATTTGAAAGAGATATGGAGAGCAGAGGAGGGACACAGCGATCTTTCATCTGCTGGTCACTTCCCAAGTGGCCGTAATGACGGGCTGGGGCAGGCTGAAGCTGGGAACTAGGAGCTTCATCCAGTTCTCCCACGTGGGTGCAGGGGCTCAATCACATGGGCCGTCCTCTGCTGCTTTTCTCAGGCACCTTAGCAGAGGGCTGGATTGGAAGTGGAGCAGCCAGGACTCGAACCAGTGCCCATACGGGAGGCTGGCGCTGCAAGTGGTGGACTTGACCTGCTACGCCACAATGCCAGCCCCGAATAAATAAATCTTTAATATATAAAAGATTTATGTAACTATGAAGAAGATTCTAAAATATGTATAAATACCAAATTCTTTCTTCCTTAGACTGGTATTTGTGTTAGAGCAAATGAATTAGTACCATGAATTTTAGTTAGTATACATGTATACAACATTCCCTGATGAAAACTGCATATGTAATTGTCCTAATTGAAAATATCTTAATGATTGAAAATTGGAAAAGTTTAATGGTAAGATATCATAGGACTGTGTAGTGTAGAGGTTTGTAATAGAGTGAATTTAACACAGATTTAAACAGCTAAGTCTGATTTCACTATTTTCAGGAAGGAGATTGTACTTTCACAGAACTGGATAAATTCAAATACTGTTCAGAATGGGGTCCCACAGCTAAAATGTTTGGAGTTGCTCCGAGACCCAGCCGTGGCTCCAGTCCAGGGGCGCTGAGAGTCCGCGTCCAGGTCTCTGGCTCCCTGAGCAGCCCTGCTAGTCATGTGTGTTGAAGCGGCCAGGTACACGTGACGCTCAGCGTTAGGGACCGTGCTGCCGCCTGTGGCACCCGCGCAGCCCGTGTGCTCATTCTGAGTCGGGAATTTCTGGTTTATGCGCTCGTAGGCCTTGTCCTGCAGATTCGTGCAGGCTGAGTGCCTCAATCCAGAATGTCCAAGACGGAAGTCCCAGTCGCCCCCTCACGGCATTGTCCTGTGGGTTTGGACCAACACCTTCTGCTGCGTCCTTGCTGTCTCTGTTTCTCTTTCCCTGCGTTTGTTCTTTCAAGAAATGCATCGACTCTGACTTCCGAAGCCCACCGGTTTTTGCCAGTTCACTGCTGGAGCGAGTGCCTCTGTTCTCTGGCTCCACCTGACGACCTTCTCGTCCCCGTCTCCGCCCTGGCTTCTCTCTCTTTCGCGTTCTGGCACGCCTGCTATAGTGGTTCTGTTAGAACACTGGTCATGTTTCTTTTCCGCACCGTCTCCTGGCTTTGAGACCCTTCCCTGACTTCTCCTGGCCCCGAGTGGCCCGGGCATGCTGCTGGCCTAGGCTTCGTTCCAGTGGTTCTGCCCAGCCATCCAGGGCATGGCCAGCTCCGGTATCTTGTTAACGAATCTTACCCTGCTCCTTGTTTAAAATTACAACTCATCCGCCTCCTGCTGACTCTGAGCAGCCTGTTGTCTTTGTTCGTAGAGCTTCCTCTGGCAGACGTTGAGATGAATGAGACTTTAGTCAGAGTACAATCTTTTGACAGCCTTGTTTTAAAGGGAAAAGTTCTCAATAACTTATTTTTTTTTACAAGAATGGAAATTTTAAAGCTTTAATCATCTCTCTCTCTTCCCCCAACCTGTCCCTCTCTCTTTACTGTGTCATTCTGCCTTCCAAATAAGTAAATACATCTTTTTTTTTTTTTTTTAAAGACCCAGGAAACCTTGCTAATTTTTTTTTTTCTTAAAAACTCTGGGACTGGCCGGCGCCGTGGCTCACTAGGCTAATCCTCCGCCTAGCGGCGCCGGCACACCGGGTTCTAGTCCCGGTCGGGGCGCCGGATTCTGTCCCGGTTGCCCCTCTTCCAGGCCAGCTCTCTGCTGTGGCCAAGGAGTGCAGTGGAGGATGGCCCAAGTGCTTGGGCCCTGCACCCCATGGGAGACCAGGAAAAAGCACCTGGCTCCTGGCTCCTGCCATTGGATCAGCGCGGTGCGCCGGCCGCAGCGCGCTGGCCGCGGCGGCCATTGGAGGGTGAACCAACGGCAAAGGAAGACCTTTCTCTCTGTCTCTCTCTCACTGTCCACTCTGCCTGTCAAAAAAAAAAAAAAAAAAAAACCTCTGGGACTGCGTTTGGCATCCCCACAGCCCTGAGATCAGTTGCCACATCTGAGGCCAGTAGGACAGGCGGGGGGACCTGCTCTGCCAAGGTGCTGTCTGGACCAGGCTCAGAGCCCAGGCGTGCTGTTCGCGCATGGTGTGGGCCTTCCAGTCCCACCACAGGAGCCTCTCTTAGCTGCCTGGGTGCCTGGACAAGCGCGTGCCCGCCTCAGCTGCGAACCCCTGCGTGTCACCTAGCGCGTGCCCAACTCAGCTGTGAACCCCTGCGTGTCACCTGGCGCGTGCCCGCCTCAGCTGCGAACCCCTGTGTGTCACCTGGCGCGTGCCCGCCTCAGCTGCGAACCCCTGCGTGTCACCTAGCATGTGCCCGCCTCAGCTGTGAACCCCTGCGTGTCACCTGGCGCGTGCCCGCCTCAGCTGCGAACCCCTGCGTGTCACCTAGCGCGTGCCCGCCTCAGCTGCGAACCCCTGCGTGTCACCTGGCGTGTGCCCGCCTCAGCTGTGAACCCCTGCGTGTCACCTAGCGCGTGCCTGCCTCAGCTGCGAACCCCTGCGTGTCACCTAGCGCGTGCCCGCCTCAGCTGCGAACCCCTGCGTGTCACCTGGCGTGTGCCCGCCTCAGCTGTGAACCCCTGCATGTCACCTAGCGCGTGCCTGCCTCAGCTGCGAACCCCTGCGTGTCACCTAGCGCGTGCCTGCCTCAGCTGCGAACCCCTGCGTGTCACCTAGCGCGTGCCCAACTCAGCTGTGAACCCCTGCGTGTCACCTAGCGCGTGCCCCCCTCAGCTGTGAACCCCTGCGTGTCACCTAGCATGTGCCCGCCTCAGCTGC